TCTCTGATATACATTTTTCTATTTGTAATAAGGAAAGAATCAGTTGCACATAACTGTCTGAACAGAAAATAAATATTACACCTGCCCAAGTTGATTCCTTGAATGGTGTTCTACACGGAAGTTCATTTCCCAAAACATTTAAGTGGCGTTTGATTAGAAAGTTTGGTAGATTGAATAAACCAATTTGAGAGCTAGCACAATATGAATTCTTGACAATATTAAAAGTAAATAAGAATGAAGTTGGTTTAGTTGTCATGATACCTTTACACTTTAATGCAATGAAAACTCTCTAGTGTCACTCTATTTTTGAACTCAAAGCACTTTGAATGCATTGTCATCATTTTCAGAAGTGTCGCAGTCTCTTCTCCAGAAGTTTTTTCTTCGTGACAATATCAGACTTTTATTAATATATAAATAAAAAACCTAGGTTTAAAATGTCAATTGTTATCTGGGCAGCATGGCAAAAGCAGTGCATGTGAGCAAGTTGCGCTGGGCAAGCTTTTGTGCAAGAAAACTTCCTGTCATGGCGAACACTTGTCATGTTGGCAGACATCAAACAGCAGTTTGCTGGAGCTGGCTTGCAAGCATTGGCTTTGTGTCCCCAGACACTGTCAGGCGACCCCGCAGAGTGGCAGTGACATTGTTCTGCCCAAACTGGGCCTGAGGTGAGTACTTCAACGTTTGCCCAAAAAAAACCAAAGTGCGGTCATCTTTAGGCAAGGTGTTTTCATATACTGAATTAGAAAATTCATTTCTGTGCATGGTAAAGCATCAGACTTTTTTATAAAGGTTTGTAAGGTCAAATTATTCTTTTATGGAAAAGCCTTATTATTTCCAAAGCAAGCTTGTAAAAGTTATTCCAAACAAGAATGTTTCATTGTAACTGCTTTCTCTTCATACTCTAGACCAAAACTCCATGTTCAGTTGCCGAACAAACTGTGTCAAAGAATTTCAGCTGATGAATGAATGCTCTCTTAAAAAAATGGCTACGGTCTGGTTTCTAGTTGAACGCCCAATGGAGAAACAACCAAGTTGCTGGAGCCTTCTGTGCGCTGCTCTCTATCCACAAGTGGTGCAAGTTCTAACTCATGAGAAATCGTATTTACTCCCAGTGCAACAGGTGCGTACCAAACAACCAAAAGCTGGCTTGATCTTCGCCTTCAAGACCAGAGATATGGCTTGTAATGCTTGATGTTTTTTAAAATCAGAATTATTAAATATATATGCATTTTCATTTGAGAGACAAAAGATCCCTAGAGGGAATGTATGCAAATAAGACGAAAACTTCCTGATATATGAGAACAATTCTGAAAATGTTTTTTATTCTCAGTTTGCCATTAGAATATGTGCAAATGATTTTTTCATTTGTTACCCATACCTCTGAAAACAACCCAGTAAAGCAAGTCATTATTGATAATATAAAGATTATATCAATTTTTCACATCTGATCTGAAATGATGTGCCCTGTGCATTTTTCTGCAATTCAATTCCAAAAACGTACAAGATTTATAAATGTGTGTTCATAAATACCAGTAAATATTTCAGTTATTAATTATAACATTTCTCTAAGAATAATATGTTAAAGATAGTTGACTTTCTTTAATTTACAAGACGTCATCTCAAATCTCTGATAATATGGTACACCAAAAAAAGGAGTAGCATATTATCAGAGGAGTGCTACAAACTATGGCAGAAATTTGGTTCATTGCGTTATTACAAAAATTGGAAGGGGAACATGGACAGTAAAACTTCACTTGTACATATTTCAGGGAACTGCCAGGAAAATATGTATAAGTGACAAAAACACATAATTGAAATTGAATATTATAAGCAAAATAGTCTCAATATTTTTAAATTCTGATTCATTTCAGCTCTCCATTTTGGAATTTTGAACAAACCTATAGGATGAAAGGATAGGGGCACTAAACATCATCAGTGCCCCTATCCTTTCATCCTTTAGGTTTGTTCAAAATTCCAAAATGGAGAGCTGAAATGAATTGAAACTCCCTGCATATTGATCAAATTAAATAACCTGAACACTGAATTCAACACAAATTCCTTGTGCACCTCTTTAATAACATAACAGAACTCACTTATTCGTCACTTACGTTGTTATTGTTTGGATGTTGTATGTTCTTAAAGGGACTTTCATTATGAATGTAAAAAATGTTTAAACATAAAATGCATATCTCAAATAATTTACCCTGGGAAGAATAGGAATTTATACCGGACTTACACAAAACAAAGTTTGAATGTAAAAAAATGTACAAATGAAGTTTCATTATAAATCAAGTCTCATTACACTCTCTCTGATACGTTTATTGTCCTTAAGGTTGAAACAGGGTACCAAATGACCTTAAACATCTGTTCTCCCACAGCAACTCCAATTTAAGATCCCTAGGACATGATCTATAAAAGACCTTTTTGAACTTTCTATTAATCTTTAGATGTTGAACTCTACAAACTCCCAGGGGGGGGGTGGAAACTGCTACATCTTCTCCCAGCCCTGGGGATCTAATATTTTTAAAGCAAAAAGCCAGAACACAGCATTTAATGGTGGCACTAAAATAATTTGCTCCTTTCAGTGTGTTTAAAAATAGTTCATTATGAGAGAAAGAAACTGACAATTACAAAAATGAGACGAATTATTAAAAGATCTTTTTAAAAATAGTTTTAAAATTAAATACTCCATGACATATCTCATTTCACTATGTCTTTGAAACAGTAGTTTCTTTTATAAATGGGAACTGCACCTTTACATAGGAAACACTCTTCCTCTTGGACATTTTGTTGCTCTTCTATTAAAATACAATTTTATTAAACTCCCAACAATTATTTTGAAAACAAATAATTTAACACTGGTAATCACACAAATGAAAAGGAATGACGCAAACAAACAATCAAATCTTTCTGACAAATCGTTTTTGGAAGAATACTTTGTATCGTTCAATTCCTCATTGCTCCATATACACTCAGTGCCCAAAAGATAGCTAGGCGCTGTAATTGCAAAAAAGGAAACATACTGAATTATAGTAGCATACTAATACAGATACAATAATCTGAAAACGACATTATTTAACTTATTTTAACTTTTATTCGTCTTTTTTCTCATTTATAGTTAAAATGTTGGAAGAGGATTCTGGAACTCAAAAAAAGGGGGCAAATAGTACATCTCCCCCATATGTCACACAGTTTTTTTCTGATCTTGGACTAAATAAATCAAAACTTCTTTTTTGTGATAAATCTTTTTGATGGTGGGAATTCTTTCCAGCACTTACCCATTTAGGAAGTATGGTGTTGATGGTTTTTGTGTAATTGCTCAAACCATCATCTTTCCTTAGCATTTTACATATAGAGGTGATTGTATAACAGTTACAAATAATATAAGAAAGTGTGTGCTGTTGTTGCACTATTAGTTCGTTCTTTTCCTCCTCTCGTTATTATTATTTGATTTTGTTTACAAAGTAACTTTATATTATATTTTGCAGTAGAAAGTACCTATCTAATGTTTTCGATTTTGAGTAATTTCACTGTTTTGTATTAAATTTTGTTTGTGAAGTTGGGGGGGGGGGGAAATTATACATTTTAAAAACTTTGTCATTCATTTCATAAAATTGTAACATTCCAGAAAACCACATTGGCTTAAGAAAATGACAGAAACGAAAAATAAAATCCCAAACAAACACTAGTGTCTTGCACTAACTAATTTAAGATTTTTGAGATTAGTTTCATTAGCATTTGATGGATGATATGCCTTTAAAGATTTGAAGGGTTTCTTACTAGAACCAAATTAGGCCAAATTTGAGATTTTTCAGACGACACCAAACACTTTGTAGCGTAGATGTGCGTAGTAATGAATTTATAATTTTTCCCACCTTTGTATCTTTCAATGTGTTTGGCACTTGTTGAAAGGAAATGTCCCGGCAGATAGTGCCAGGGATAGGAAATAATTTGGCGAAATATCTCAAAAACTGAAATTTTGGACTTGTTTGATTCTTGTAAGAAACTCAATTTTATAAACATATCTTGTAGAATAGAAGGACATTTAGAAGATTTGAAAAATGATTTAATTTTTTGTGTTCCTCTACTTGCAGGTGTTTTTGCATCCATCCTCCATCAACTACACTGTAACTCATTTCACCAGCCCTTATCTTGTGTATCAAGAGAAAGTGAAGACAAGCCGTGTTTTCATAAGAGACACATCCATGGTGCCACTACTCCCATTGGTTCTGTTTTCTGGTAATTTAGAAATAGTATATTTCATGAAGGATTTTCAATTATTATTTCTTTACATTTTCCTGTAAAACAATTTTTCATTTTGAGAAAATATAGTATGTTTGAATGATGTGCTATTTCACTACGATATGATATTCCATTTATGGAAGTACTTTTGGAGCAGCTTGACCATCACACATTGTGTAATTTGTACATATTAACGCTAATATTATTAACAAAATTAATAAGATAGAAATATACATCATTGTATAAGTTCACGGTGGGCCTGCATTACCATCCTTTGGCTAAAGTTTCAGTTAGAGTTATCTGATAGTTTGCAATGAAAAATTGTATTATGACTGCTGGTTAAAGTATGCTGTGATGTTTATTTGAAAGATAAGTTAATCGAAGAATGAAGTAAGGGATAGCATATTAACTGCTGGTTAACTGCCAGTCTTTTTTGAAATGACTACTTTTCCTGTGTATTCCAAAGCAGTTTCTGAGGATCAAATTCTCATGGGCATTTCAACAAAGCAAAAATAAGCTAACTGTGGGTGAAACCCAGTTGCAACCCATGTGAAATAGTTTTGAATATTGGAAACACCATGAATTCTTCCTACATAATTTTCTTTCTTCCCTGACATCAATGTAGCAATTTGCAAATTGCAGTTAAAAAAGTTTATGTTAAAATGGTCAGTAACATATGGGAGTATATATCATGGGTTGAATAAAAATTATTTATTTAGTTTCCAATCATATCATTGAAGCCTTTTGTATACCATTTCTTATATATATCATTCATATTTCACCCAAACAAAAGGTTTCAGTGTAGTTTGCAAAGAAAGGAGCTTCTCAATATATTGTATTTCTACCTGGGGAGGTATTCAAATTGGAAAGATGTTTGATTTGCTATTGAATAAAGAAACAAATGTTTTGGGGAACTAGAAAGTACTATCAACCAACGCAAATTCCTCAGTGAAGTAGTGGATAACTTACTCTCAGTTATCGTGCATTGGTAATTCAAGACTCCTTCTTTATCCTGAAGATAACTTAACTGGTAGGTTGTTAACCAGCACTTTTAATGGAAGGTGATAATACAGGCCATAATTTCCTATCTCCATTTTTGTTTCCAAAATTCTTATTTCTTTATATTTATTTATTTTTTTTTTTTAAGTAGTGAAGCTTGCCCTCAGTAAATAGAAGTAAAGAATAAATACTCTTATGTATGCTGCAATTCATAACCACAAGTTGTTAATAATACTCAGTAGACAATTTGATGGTTTTTGGTCAGGTAAATGAAAATACAGTTGACTTCAATTATAGTGAACTTCTAGTGACTAACATTTTTGGTTCACTATATCCAATGATGCCAAAATCAAATAGAATATCCCCACAATGATTGATTTTATTAAGATGGAGATTGGGCAAAATATATTAACAGCATGAACTGAAAATTCCAATGTCCTTATTTGTCCTCAAAAAGTCAAATATTTTCAATTATTTGCTTCATACATTTTTCATTAGCAATTTCTCTAGGTCCAGAGTCCTAGAGATCTCTCCATAATTGATTCTACATTGTCCACTGTTCTAAGTATCGCATTGCAGTTTTGAGATCCTTCAATGCCTGTTGAAAGATCCACTCTTCGGTGGCCCTTTTACTCTCCAATTAACATATGAAATCCAGAATGGAGCAAGCTGCTAATGAAACTGACCTGCACCACATGACAGGGCGAGTATCGCCAGGTTGTGGGCTGTGGCAGTCGAGAGTTTCCTGTCACCTACACAACGCAGTTTGTCCCGCGAATATCAAGTAACATCAAGCTTGAAACGAAAGCTAGCAATTGTGTGTTGCTGCTGCCAGCTACAGCCCAAGCAGGACGTGGCCTTAGCTTCCACTGTGAAACCGAGTGGCATTAGGTCATCAGTAAAGTCCTTGTTCTGGGTCCGCTACCTTTACCTCAGGGGAAACGTCTACAATTATGATCTTTCATCGATATTTTTTGCATGCTGCCTAATGCTGGAATTTGTGGCATGGAGGCTATTTATTCTTTCCCAGGAGGAAATTAATTTTCAGGTTGTCGTATTTCCTATAATGAAGTTTTGGGTTCACTATAATCAATTCTTCTTATGTTTACTTGTAATGTAACTGAAATGGGACCAAAGACTTTAGTTCACTATATCTAAGATCTCTTTAGTCAGAGTCATATATATAATTTATTTTCTGCTAATATTTCGGGATAAAGTACTCTTCATCCAGCTTTATAAAAACAACATAGTTTACAATGAAATACTACCACACTGTTAGAAAACAATAAACAATTTACAAAATTAAAAACAGACTTGAACCATGGCTTGTAGCTCAGAATGAAGAAGCTCGCCTTTCTCCAAAGAGGTCTAGATTTGAATCCCAGGCAATCTCATGTAAAATTAGCTCTGATAATACGAGTTAGTCCCACCCATGTGAAGTGTCCTAAACCCTACCACTTTTCTAATTCCTTCCCAATTCTGACACCGCAGGGTAGTGGCGCAGTAGCGCGTGTGGGAGCCGTGATCAAGGAAATGCTACCTGGTGGTCCTCTTGATGACTTACTGATTACTATGACTACTATCTGCATAAAAGTAACGGAGGATTATTCCTTAATAAGCACTCAACACCCAACAAGGGTTAGGAGTCGCAATGCAATGTTACAAGAGTGCAAAAATTTTTAATTTTTAAATAGCTTATTATGTAAACAGTATGAGGGAGCAAAAAATGCACTCTAAACTACCTTAATGCGTTTTAGTCCAGTTCAACTTCCATAAGGATTTGAGTGGTGGTTTCCAATTACTAGGGGTCAGATTTTGATGACCTAAAACTTCGCCAAAAATATTAATAAAATGCTTTAAAAATGCCCTCAAATGAGAAAGAAAAGAAAGAAAAATGCCCTCAAAAGAGAAATGGAAAGAAAAATGAAAGAAGAATGGATTTAAAAAATATATCAAATACGTTTTAGATGAACAACTCAAGCTGTTGGGTAACTGATGTAAAACTTCTTCTTTTTGTTCAATTGAACTCAGCTTCCTAACTTATGGTTTGGACTGTTCTTTAAAAGAAAATCTCTGCCTTTATTTAATGCAAAATCAGCTTAACTGACAAAGACACTGATATGCGTCTCAAGAACCTTAGATTACATAGTACCCACAACGGCAGACATTACAATATATAAGCGAAAAAATCAAATAGGCTACTCAAGAATTCTGTGGCAAACATTTCCTGCACCTCGTAAATATTGTTTGCAGCAAGTACCATTACAATGATCTTAGAATCGATTATATCAGCAAAAAATGCATTTAAAATTACGTAAAAAGGTGAAAAAGATGTATTAGTGGAAATTGATGAAAAATGCAAAAAAAATTACGTATAAAAATGGGTCATTTAATTTTGTCATAACGTAAAATTAATTTCTATTCTAAACAGCATAGTTCTAAAGTGAAAAGAAAGTAAACTGCATTTCATTAAAATCTGTCCCTTACCCATCACCAATGCTTTCCCATTGACCAACTTCATCATTCTTCATCTTGTTTGCAACTGACTTATGAAAAATTCTAGAAGCAGAAAGACATGTGATTTGTAGCTAACCACTAGTTAAAATATGAAAACGCATTAGCAAGAATATAAAGCCTACCTCTTTTATTGTTACCATACAAATAACAAAGAAAGCAATACAATATTGTAATAATTATTTTTTAATCAAACTTTGATATACACAGATTTTTGAAATTATACTTTAGATTGTGGTATAAATAACATTTGTATGAATTTATTAAATTAAATAATATGTAAATACTTACATAACAATGTAATGTTATGATATGTATTTACTTGTGTGTTTAGTATAATTTATATTAATTAATTATCTTGCATTTTATACAGAAAGAATGTAGGTTCATGGATTAATTTAAACAGTCATGTAGACAATAATTTGTTTTGTACATTCATCTTTGTGATAAATTATTTGCCACTAATGTACTCATTTAAATACTAATTCTAAGATTCTCAGAGAATTTAATTTTGTGGAGGCTATCATAATAATACATAGCACAATTCCATTGTTAATTAACCTAAATGTAATAACATTGACTCAAGTTGTGTAGTTGAGCTGAAATTGTTTTATAATTTAATACATACAGTAGGAAAATAAATGTTATAATACACATTGAATCAGATCTACATTTTTGAATTGCTTACACTCAGTATTACATTTGTTTCTGTTTCAAGCATCAATTTTAGATCAGTTTGTGCTATGTTGACTTATGTGGTTCATACAGTAAAACCCCTCTTTTACATTTTTCATGGGGAGGGGGGGGAGGGGCTCTCTTCAGTCCTACCCTTTCCTTGGTCGGCATATACATCAAAGTCAAGATATTGCCATTTATGAATTGCGACAGGCTTGCTATAGTTATAGTTTACCTTGTTGCTGCCTCAAGCCCTTCCTATGTATTTTTCCATTTTATATTTCAAGCCTTTTAGAGCATGGATTTTCACAGCAAACATTGTCAACTTTTGATATGACTTGTTTCATTTCAAGTTTTAAAAAAATCAGATGTGAATGAAAAAATGTTGACTATATCCAGATTTGAGGACCATAAGTATTCTCGCATTGATCCACCTGCTGGACAATGAAACAGAAGTAATAAAACAGAAAAATAATTTCTCAATGAAGCTATTCTATACTCATCATTTTTATTTCAGGATGTGGTTTAACTGTGGAGATGAGCAGGGGAGAGTTTGTGTTGGCCCTTGCCGATGGGTGGATAAAGTTCCTTGTAGAAAAGCATAATGTGAGTTCATGTTTTTCCATGGAACTGTTAATTAGGTCATTAAGTCTTATTATTCTCTATGTAAAAGAAAGTGAAGATAATCTCAAGATAATCAATATATCTCAAATCACAAGATAATTCTTTATTTTAAAATAAAAAGTGTCTCATCTGGTTTATTGTTATAATTGACTTCTGTTGTGGGAGGAGAAAATCAATGATTACAGTAAGATTTGAATTTGCACCATCCACGCAGTACATTGAATGTGTATCACATGTCATTGTCAAAGATATTTTAAGGTATGATATCACATACCAAACTTTTGTGCGCCTTGACAGTTGTGCCTCTGGAGATGCATTATTGCCACCCTTTACCTCTGTTACCTGCATCCCATCTGAATGTGCAGCCTTTCTTTGTGGCAACGTGAATATCAACCACAGCAAAATATAATAATTAACAGAAAGTCGATCCGAATAGCCGAGGTTGCTAAGACAGTAATGCCGTAGCAATATCGGATGGATAGATCATGGCTTCAAGTCTCGCCTCAGGCATGGGTGTGTTTGTGTCTGTATCTTTGTGATTATCCCTTCGCCCTACATCATCATCATCATCATCATCATTATCTCATACTTCATCTCCCCAGGGCTAACAACCCTTGGGTGTAAAATGGATTCCGCATAAAAGTGCTGATCCCCCCCCTCCATCAAAAGGTCACCCAGACTGGGTCCTGGGCTTCAGTAGGTACAATTGTGGGGTCCTAAGGTGACCAATTGGCAACCAAAAAAAATTAGCAGAACATGAGTTTTTATTGGACTGCGACAAATGATATTTTGTATTTCAGTACAAAGTTTGTCAGTAATTACAGCTACAATTTTGTAATGATCCCTTTATTCCTTTTTTCCATCCCCAGAAGGTTGCAATAAGCATAGATTACAGCATTATAGAAGCTGCAGCTATTGCTTTTTGCTAGATTACATTGGCAACATCATCATGTGGCTCAAATGGCAAGCATAGAGAAGTTGGGTATTTTTCTTTTTTAATATGAATTACAATTAATATTGTCAATAAAATAAAAACTTATACTTTGTGATGATTGTGTGAAATTTTTGGCATCATGTTATACACAATCATCACTTTTATTCTTAACTGAAAAGTTTGAAGAATTCTCCTGTGTAGAATAATTATTCATAATGACAGATGAGAATTCCGGAAGTGTATTGTTGGATCTCTTTTGAAGGGGGAGTTAATATTTTGAATATCAAATGAATATAAAAATAATTGTAGAAATATAATCAGTATTTACTCTTTAAATGCTTACTTTCTGTCAAAATAAATTCAATTTTGAGGAAGAAAATTCAGATATGTTTTTGATTACTTTTTGTCACAGGTGGCTGAATTGATCAAGATGATTCGCAGTGAATTTGTAGATTTATTAGCAAAAAAAATTGAAGATCCAAGCCTTGACCTTCTGACTCATGAAAGAGGGAAAAAAATTGTCCGGACTATAATTCATTTGGTTACAAGAGGTTGACAAGAAAGTATACTTAATAAATGAATTACCAGCAGATGTACCTTCGTGTGATCTTTTCATTGTATCCTTCCAATAAAAAAATGGATATTCTTGAAATTTTAACTACAATTTTAATATTTTGCTAAGTTATTTAATTCTAAGAGGAGAGCATACATTAATTAAAATATTTGGGATGAATAATTATTTCATATATTTTAAACTGAACGCATTTCACATCATTTGGTTGGCCCTTATTAATTTAACATCCTTCATACATTTTATTTATTGTAGCTTAGTTTGTGGAAACCACTTCTGGACTAAAGTCTTTTATTGATACGCTTCTAAATGATCAATTTGTCTGGAAAGATCCACTTCAAAAGGTTTCAATATGTATTTGTAAATGTTGAATGTACTCTTGGTCACGTTACATGATATGGGATGTGGCCTAATTATGATTACACTTTATGTAAAGGCTGTGTTGAGTGATGTGAATTCGAATTGAATGAGGAGTGGAGTGTTCATTGAATTGAATTTATAACTGTATGTCCTGTGGCTTTTGTAGTGAGAGCCACAATAAAAAGGAAATAATATATTTGCTATGGTGCTGCTTTTGGATTTTTATTATCAGGAAAATTTGTAATTTTTTAAATAATAGCATTTATTTCATTGTACATTTTATTTTATTTGATCGCCTTTACAGTTAAAGTTTGAAATAGATTAAATGGCTCATTATTATATCCAATGGGAAATGGGGTATTGCCTTACTGTCAATATAATACCATTAATTATATAGACACGTGGTTAGAAAATAGGTCAAATGTGTAAAAGGCAATTGAATAAGATAAGCTGTATATTACATGTGGCTAGACTACTATGTGCTCATTAGTAATTTATACTCTTGGGCTACTGCGCTGTAAGATAAAGAACTATTATTTTATTGAAGTTAAAAATTAACATATATTGTTGAACTGCCTATTTAGATTACTGATTTAATGTACGTTTCATCATTGACTAAGCACTGGTCCCAAGTTATACAATATTTATTACTTTATTTCAATAACTTCTAATTTATTTCAGGGGTTTATAAAACCTTCCAATTTTACGGTTTCAATATTTTCAGATATTTAGACAATTTTTCAATCGGAAACAAAGATTTGAGTTTAAAATAAAACAAAATTCTGAAATGAAATCTCTCATTCATATAACCAGCATCAGATAATGTGAAAGGAAATTATTCTGACTCTCAATAGAACTAGAAAAGAAATTTTAACTGCTTGTTGTCAGGAATTATTTGTTTTCATAATCCAAATAAAGAAGGCGCTACTATTCTTATGAGAAGTGACATCTTGTGATATGTATCTTTTGCCAGGTGAAAGTAGCCACACTTCTTTACTACATTCCCTGACTGTAGGAATTAATACAATGAGTCACTATTTTTTAAAATTAGCTTTAAAAAACAAAGGAATACCAATGGAATAAAGTGTTCATGAAGACATAAATCTTCATTTACTGATGATTCTTATTTTATAATGCCTACAATAAGTAATTCTAATAATGTTTGTTTTTAATAATATTGACAATCCTTCAGAACTTAGGTTGAATTACTCACAAATTTTAAGTTCTGTTTGTAATGGCTAGCCATATCATTTACACACCACCTCTTAATTCAAAATTATGATTTTGAAATACAGGTTTCCTCAAGTTACCCCCATACTATCTTTTTATTTTTGGAGAAAAAAATCAGGATTGATTTTTAAAACGATCTTTGTAGTTTGGTTGTTAGGAGGATAGATAGAAAAAGGAAGAAGTGCAATGGCTGTATTATTGTTATTGCTTTTGAGTAATATTGAGTAAACCATTGCCAATTTTTAAAATGGTTTTTATATTTCAGTGCCAGGTAATTCATGGTTTAAATGACATTAAATGCTGTAGTTTTATTGAGACAAAAACACCACAACTTTACAGTGATATTGAAATAATAAACAGTTTTCCCACAATTTATAAAATGTCACTTACACCGTTCTGGTTTTCATCTATTCATATGTATTTTTTCCAAGGATGATGTCAGAAAAAGCATCATAATACCACACAGAAGTGTACTAAAAATTACACACAAGTGTTCAAGTTAAATGCTGTGGTATTAGCGAGCCAGAGTGTTTATCATTTGACATAGCCACTCTCATTTTAATTGCCTCTCTGTGACTGCATTAAATAAGTTTGTTCATGCACTCTGTAAAATACCACCTCTCCCAATGACATTTCTTTGTCAGATACTGAAACCCATATATTACATGGAAATCATACCCCTGTTAAAAGGACAACCTGTTTCCCCGACTACCAACCAACCCCGTATTAGTAATTTTCTTAATTTACCTCTTTTAAGAGACCGCTTTCAGGAAAATTGTAAGAATTCAGTAAACTGAATTTTCAGTAGTTAATATGAAAATTAGTGGCACTATAAAAAGACATTTGTGCAACAAGCCTTTTGTGCCTACGCTTCAGTCCTTGAGAAAATTGGGGAGGGGTTTTGAGAATCGTGAATCAGTATACTGTGACCACTGTTATGGTACCATGGTTGCTCACACCATTTCATTTTCATTCTAATGGGATGGTGGTTATACCTTATATTTTATTTCATGAATTAACAGAGCTTTCATTATGCTGCATTTTAGGAAGAACATCTGGTTCAGTAGAATATCATTGTCAGGAGTCAGGGTTGCACATGAGTTTTCGAGTGTAGCATTCACCCACGACCATGCTGTTTTGTACAATTGTGCAAAAAATGCAAGAAACGTTAGGCTTTGGGCTCTTAAAAATTGAGTGTAGCGAGAAAATAGAGGTTTGTCACATGTAGACAAGTATTGGGTATACTAAAATAAAAAATTAATGAAATATTTATTTTTAACCAAAGGAAAAGGGAGATAAAAACAATTTTTTAGATGCATTTAAAAAGATGGTTTAGAAAGATAACATTTGTCTAAAAAATCATTTACATCAAATTAGACCCCAAAAAAGGCAAAAACTCTATCAAAATGATTCATTTTTACCAAAAGCCTTTAAATATGTAAATTACAGTAAAATAGACACTTTCGTAAACATACGATGTCTAGTAATGATTAACAATTTTAGTAATTAAAAATGATTCCCCCTGCAACCAGCCCTTTAAATTTCACCGTTTTCGTGGAGCCAATAGTGGTTGCTGAAAGCAGGTGTCATTGTATGTTGTGACTACGTAATGATTGGATTATTCAAGGTAGTTGTGAACCCAATTAACTCAGGTAATTGCAAGTGTACCATAATTTAAAGTACTAATCTGCCTAAGTGTGGGTTATGAAGCGGGTGCAAGAGAATGACAGAGTAGAAAAAGATTTAGTCAGGTTACATTAAGCAGTAACCAAGCAGAAGTGAATGTTAAACTTTTCGCAGTGATGTTTAGAGCATGATTGTGAGGAAAGAAAGTAGGCGGTGTCTTCTCATTGTAGAAAACTTTAAGAAAACTATTAATATATGTGGCATATATTCTTCTATGGAACATGTCAACAGCCATCCTCACTTTTAATATCACTCACAAAATCCTAAAGCAGTTGGATTCTGGAAACAAATTTTTACTCCTTTGGCATGTAATGCTATTGACATGTAATTTTTTTCAGTAAATTGGGTTCAACTGCAACAAATTTTGTTTCCAGTATCCAACTCTTTTAGGATTTTGTGGGTGACATTAAAAGTGATACGCAACCATTCATGAGTTGGCTGACAATGTCCTTCAAATCTGAATGTGTTTTCAAAACTAAAGGCTGAGTTTGCACCCTGGCAACATGGACTGACGATACCCAAGTGAGCAAAAAAGCATATCACTTGGAGAACTGGGAGGAAATATGTCTTTAGTGCCCAAGAGAGTTACAGAACTCTGTGATTCATTGCAGTGCTTGAATGATCTGACATTGAGAGTAGTTTTGTTAACTTCACCTTTTTTAAGTAATGCATATTCTGAGTTTCTCAACAAATAAATGTTTATGGTATTCAAGTTGAAATATGAAGACTCCTCCATGTCAAAAAATGTGTGCTTTGGTGTTGCTGTCATAATTGCTTCATTTTGTCAGGCACCGCCACTGGTTTCAAATAATTTGTGGATCAGTGCCCAACAGATTTCTTTGCTTGTTGAACCATGAAGTTTCAGTTATTTGAGAATAATTCTTAAGGGGAATTAATAACATTGTGAATGAATAGAGTACATTTTTATACAATAAATATCTCTCTAAGCAGTTTTTAATTTTTATTGTAAAGAAATTAGAAAAATTGATTTTTTGTATGCTTAACAAAATTCATATAAACAATGAGGTCAGTGCTAAACATAAAATCAATTATTTGATCACTACGGTTGGTTGTTAAATACAAGTATGAATTTCATATTTGTTTTTATCAGGTTGTAATTTATGTTGTATATAAATATATATATACCATCTGCAACATGTGGTTAAATGTGTCATCGAACATAGCAGAGTATTATGTTCTGAATGCATATGGTTTGATTGACAGTGTTGGATATTGTTACATTAGATATGAATGAATTGTGAAATTGTGATTTTTTCTACTACTGTTGAAATCTTGTATATTGTTGAAATATTGAATAAGATTTGTATTATTTCATTTGTGTGGCTTTTCATTGAGCTTTCTGTCCTGTGTACCAACATTCTCCATAGAATTATTATATGGGAAAATATCAACAAAGCTCCTTATGTTTTGATTAATCAATGATTAAGTAGGTTAAGCAAAAGATGAAGATAATTTGCTGCTAAAGGTAATTAAAGTTCTGTAATACCATTAAGCCATATGATTAGATTGGCAAATACATCCTACAGAGCTATCACACTCAAAATATAGTTTTGTTACTGAACCCAAACAAAAATTGTAAGCTGTCTTTCAATGACTGAAGAATACATAAATAAGATTGTGTTGAATTAAATCAGAGATTTTCTAAAAATAAGAAAATGTATCGACATTGAATCGGTACCTGATACTTTGATTTGGATGTACTTTACATGAAATGTTAAAGACATTCTTAAATTTTCTCAAAAATGGCTCAAAATTTACAGCTATAAAAATAGAACAGGTTCAAATATCATTCAAAGGTGTAGGTTCTATTTTCTATGAATTTTCAAAGATTGAGAAAAAATTCAGCATCTTCCTACAACTACAGAATTGAAGACTTTTTTTTAACAAATATGTTTCTCAAAATTAGGTATTTATATGCAATAAGGCACAATTTTTGCAACATATGAATAGTTGTTGATAATTTTTGCATGAAATAAAGGCTTTTAAATACAAGAATTTCTCTAAATCTTCTGCAATTTTTGTATGTGTCCGAAATATACTTATAAAAAAATGGTATATGTCTGATTTTTGTTGCACTCTTATTTAAAAATTTGAAATGTAGGCCTGAGCCTGTGAACGGGTTGTCGCGCCAAGTACATACATACTAGTAAATTTACAAATTATGCAAGAAAATAGGTACTGGTAAAATATTGGTCCATTTTAAAACTATATATATATATAACTGGAAGCATATATTTGAAGTTATATATTTCAGATAAATCGGTCATTCAATTTAGCAGATTCAAAATTATCTTTTTCTGAAAAATTCATCTTTCTAAATGTACTAACCTAATTGATTTATTATCTTTAATGAGCATTATACATTGTGAGAATCATGAAGTTAGTCAAAGTTATCATTTTTAACCTTATTTTCATTATTGAATTTCTAAACAAATATTAAAGAACATATATAATTTTACAGGATTGTCATACATTAAATATTAGGAAATTATTTCACAATAAATTGACAAAATGGAAACTGATTAAGCCTACTACACTGACTACAACTTTGTTTCGTATAAATGTCTCAAATTAATTTTATTTACCTTAAAAATATTATAAATATACTAACTCTGCAATTCACCTTCAAATTAAAAATGTTTTGCAAGCTAGAGAAGTATTGTTTTTATTTTATTATGAATCTTCATGTATCTAAAGAATGTTTCAAAAATCAGTGTCTCTTTTAATGAGAACTTTTAAAATTCAATACACCGCAGAATGTTTTGAAAATATTTGTGAAGAAAAACAAGAACTGAAAGGCACCACACTTTCTACTATTATTATTCTTGTCGATGGTGTTATTATTTTTGTTTGCCCAGCATTTACTGGGTTTTCACAGTTGGTGGAACGGACGATGTGTCAAGTTAAATCTAACTCTCTTGCAAAGTGACAGGTATCACTGACTTCTACATTTTTGACAAATGTTTTTTTAAAACTTTAGAATTTCAAAGTGTTTTGGTGTGTTAACGAAAATGAGATCAGTGGCTAAAATGATAACAGGTCTAATAATTTTTTTTTTTACTTTATCTGCTATGTCCTTGTATTTAATTATGTTGTTATTAAAGTAATTGTCGATGTTATGAGAGAGTGATATGACAATGTGAATTAGATGGACGTCTTTCTTCTTCTTGCCTACCAGGGTGATGTCAGAACTATTGGCTGGGATGGTGACATCAGTTTTGATTTCACTATCCCAATAGAGTTTGTCACTGTTAACAACTGGAGGTGATTCATACTTGCAATAAGGCAACATTGTTGCTGCGCATTCTGCTAATTTTTGATGGATGATTTTTTCCACACTGTTGTCTCTTTTAGAATATTCAGTGTTTATAAGCATTCGACAGGTTCCTGTTGTGCATTCTCTTGTTTCTGCTGTTTTTTTGGTATTTTCCACATTTGTCATCTGAAATTGCTTCCAGTATTATGTATTTCCAGTGATTCTTGTAGCTATAACTATCTTGCATCACCTTCATAAATCCAGTTGTTTCACCAGAAAGGTTCCCAATCTTGAGCCGAACACTTGTTGCTTCCTGGTCTATATGATCACCTGGGCTCGGATTCTGATGACATGTCATCTTTCGATTGGTGCATTCTAGACAAAGCTA